TATTTCCTTACTTTCGGCTCTCCGAGAATCCCCGTGAAAGCCACTACACAGTCTACAAGATGCTGCACATCTGGTCCCCGCTTATCCTTCCAACCACATCCCTACCATCACCCCAGCCCCTGCGCCCTGCAGGTCGGGCGCACTGGTGCTTTTGCTCTCTGGGATGATTAAGCATGATTGTGTTCATCTGATTGGCTTGGGAGCTGCTTAGGGTGTGTCTGGTGGGTCATGGAGACCTGACCTTTGGTACTATATATCTGGTCCCTTGCTCTAGCACTATTCCCGGGCTCTGCTTCCAGGCCACCATGAAATAAGATTTACTTCACCATCCTACCATGATGTTCCTGCCTTGGAGCAGCCAAGCAAGGACCGAATCTCCCAAAACCCATAAGGCAAATTAAACCTCTCCTTTAAATTGTGGGTGTCAGATATTGTGTCTTAGCCACAGGAAAGTGACTAATACAGAAATTTGGTACCAGAGGACGGGGGCCATTGCTGTGACTGTACCTGACTATGTGGTTTATAAGTCTTTGGGGTTGGTCTGGGGAAGAGTCTGAAAAGGTTTGGAGATGCAGAACAGAGGAGCTTTAAATGCTGTGAGCACAGCCTGATGGGTAATTCTGACTGACAGGCAGAATCCGAGAATGCTGATACTATGCGAACAGTAAGGCCAGCTTCAGGAGGTTTCAGGTAGGAACAACTGGCAACTGGATTAGAGGACATGCGTACTACACACTGGAAAAAAAAGTCTACATTTTGCCCATGTCCTGAGACTTTGAGACACTGAGATTAAGGGCAATGGGTTACTGCCAGAGGAAATTTCTATGCAGTCCAACACTCAGGCTTTCGTGTGGGTTCTGCTGGCTGCTTTTAGTCACATTTATAGTGAGAATCAGGTGCAAAAACCAGAGGAGAAAAATTTGAAAAGCAATTTTGGCCCAGGAGGAACCATGTAGAAAGTGAGGGCCAAAGTATGTGTGGCTGTTAAAGGAGAGTAGTGCCATTAAAAAGAAACCAAGTACTTTGTACAGAGACAAAAAAAAAAATTAAAAAAATGCTTGAGGGCATCTCAGGAATAAACAAGACCTCACCCACTGCAGGCTCAAACATGCAAAAGTGAAAACCTTTCATTTGAGAAGAGAGCCCCTAGACCTCCTAATTGAGAAAAGCTGCTTAGGGAATTGGTTCCTGAGGTTTCATTTCACTGTGCTAACACATCCAGACACTCAAGATGCTGCTGCTGCCATGGTCCAAGGGGGCCCAGCTACTGCTTGTGCTGGTAGCAGACTTTGGCTATTCCATGTGATGCTGGTTTCACCAGAATGCAGAATGTAAGAGCTGTGGCATCAGAGAGGTCACTATCAAGATTTCAAAGGAAGGTCTGGGAGGCCCTGAGAGGGCAGTGCATGAAGCTGTGGGGATGAAGCCAAAGGTGCAGTGGAGATCCCAGGAAGTCAGAGATGCAAGGAACATGGAACACTTGATGAGGAAAGCTGCAAGCACTGAGCACAGCCAGCCCAAGAGAAAGGCCATGTGGGCTGCAACCACCAAGACCATAGGAGTGGGGCTGCCTTTAGGAACTCACATTTTACCACCCTGTGCCCCAGATACTGAATATGGAGCTATACAACTTAGTGACTACCCTGCTGGCTTTCAGTCTTACATTGGCCCCATTCTTGCTACCATCCTCTTCCTCCCTTGTAGAATAGGAATGTTTACTCTGTGTCATTGTATGTTGGGATATGTAATTTATTTTTATAGAGGTTCACAGCTAAGAGTTTGATTACAGTCTCAGAAGACTTAGACTCTTGAAAAATGCTGAAGGTGTTGACATTCTGGGGAAGGGATTATTATGTCTTGGTTGCACATATGATAGCTGTATTATATTAAGTGGAATTATGACTTTTTGTTTATTTGGAGATTAAGTATAGTTTAAGGGGATATGTTTGGGTGCCAAGCTGACAAGGGGTAGGATGTGACAGTTAAGCTTCATAATGTCAATTTGACTGGTTAGGATCCACCATGTGTTTCATGGAACACACTTCTGGGTGTGTCTGGATAGGTCTTGGAGACATGATCTTGAGTACTTTACCTGATCCCTCATCCATTCCTCTCGGCACTGTTCCCCTGCTCTGCTTCTTGATCATCATAAACTCAGCAGCTTTGCTCTGCCATGCCCTTCTGCCATGATGTTCCCGCCTTGGAGCCAGGCAGGCATGAACTGAATCTCCTGAAACCATGAGCCAAATTAGGCATCTCCTGCTTTATGTTGTGGGCATCAAGTATGGGAAAGCTGGGTAGTACACTCTTAGCTGTAGACATCAAGCATGTTCCTGACTCAGGCTCTTTGCATGCACTGTTCCCTCTGGCTACAATGCTTTCTCCCCAGATACTCACTTTGCTGGCTTCTCCCTTCCTTCAGGTCTATAATCCAATGTCATTTGCCATCTCTGAAATCCTTTCTCAAGACGCTGTTTCTTGGCATTCTCCAATCTTTCATCTTCCTTTATTTCCCTCTCTGTCACTTACTACCTGACATTGCTATTTCCTTATCTGTTGACTTATTTAGTCCATCTCCTCCCCAAGTATATAAGCACCTGTCTGCCTTAGTCACCATTCCACCTGCAGAGCCCGGGCAGTGCTGGGAGGAACACAGAGAAGTAAATATTTCTTGAGAGCAATAATTAAACTGACCTGACCACAATCATGCTCTTCCCACTACACCATACTGTTTCCCAGGAAAAGGATCCATGTGTCTACAGCTTGTCACTTCTCCTATAACAGATTAAAATGCCCTGGCTTATAGAACTTCTTTATAACCCAATGAAGCCCAGCACCTAGTAAATGCTAAGTAAACATGAGAAAATCAATGAATGGAGAGTAACCCTAAAAGGAAGTCAACTGGGAAAGAGTCCACAGTCACAGACAGACTGGATATGTCCTCTCTGGTACCAATGGCCATTCAGGGGCTGGTCTTTCTCTATTTCCTTGTCCCTATGAGTCCAAGCCACAGAGAAATTTTGAAGAGGAAAAAATAATCAGATTTGAGTTCTGGCTTCAAAAAGCTAATATATATGTCACTATCAAAATGAAAATTTGAATATACACTTATGAAAGAAGTATAATTAAATATTTATAAGATTTCAAGGTGAAAGGAATTCTAGGTGTGTGATTGACAGAAAAAATCTGTGAAAGATGTGGCTGCTGAACTGGTTAAACTGAATACTGATAAATGAGTAACAAATATGATAGCCTATGACCTCAGGAAAACAAGAGCTACATTCTATTAATCCTGTGTCTTTAATGCCTCACAAAATGTCTGGAACATAAAGGCATTTGATAAATGTTTAACAAATGGGAGGAGCAAGGCATTCCCACAAAAGGAAGAAGTCAATAAATTACAAAGATGACAGAATGCAGGGCTTTTATGAGCAACACTAAATAGTGACGATTAGCTAGTAAAAACAGATCGTGAAAGAAAGGTTCATGAAAAGGAAAGGCAAGAGATAGTGTACCGGGTGCAGCAGCACATGCCTTGTAATCCCAGCACTCCGGGAGGCTGAGGCAGGAAGATCAGGAGTCAGGGTCTAGCCTGGCCAACTTAGTGACAGCAAGATCCTCTCTCAAAAAAGGGGCGGGGCTGGCATGTAGCTTGGTGTCTCAGTGTAGAAGCGCTAAGTTCAATTCCCCATACTACAGGAAAAAAAATAAAAATAGAGGAAAATAGGTTAGGGTCAAACATGGATTGTGAGGAATGACAGGCTAAGGGCTGTATCATGCAGGTGATAAGAGAGAGACCACTGAAAACCTTTGCGTTGGAGAAGATGACTAGAGGAAGAACCCTCTGCTTGAATGAATGCAATCTACCACTGCTTTGCCCAAACTGCTGAAAATTCTACCATTATGGATTATTTGAAGGCACATGCTCCTCCGTAGGAATCTCTTTATACCCTGTGTGGCAATGGAAAAAAGTGCAGTCATTCATGTAAACTAGCTGATTAATTTTCCTTCTCCCAGCTAGAGTACACAGGGACACGGAAGTGATGGGAAGTTCAAGTGCAGGTGGAAGTACAGCTTTTTGACTTTGCAAAGATGAAAAGTAATGACCTGCTTTTAACAGATAGATTAGTTTCTTTTTTTGGTACCGGGGATGGAACTTGGGTCCTTGTGCCTTCGAGGCAGGCAACAGAACCACTGAGCTAAATCCCTGGCCCTGGATAGATTAGTTTCTTAAGGGCTGACTCTGTTCTTCCCAAAAGCAGAACTGAGTAAAGATGAATGAGAGACATGTAATTTCCCGTACTAGGAGTGATGACCCGGAGGTAAGAAATAGGAAGAAATAGGATAAACTGATCCCCATTCACCATACTGAACCCAGAGCCTCCCCAAAGAGCCACATCCCCAGAGCCTTTTTATTGTTTGTTTTGAGACAAGATCTCATTAAATCGCCCAGTCTGAGCTCCAAACCCATGATCTTCCTGCCTCAGCCTCTCTGAGTGCTGGGATTTTAGGTGTGCAGCACCACACCCAGCTTAAACTGAACATTTTGGAGGAGGAAATAAAATGGTTCTGTGGCATGTAGACACTAGAAATTACATACTCAGTTCTTTGAATTTTCCTCCAAAGTAGTAAAGACTATCTGAATCTTATCCAATCGAAACTTCATGAACTGTGATTGACAATCAATAATGATTCAAGGAATATGATGGAAAAAGGAGACGAAATTTTACTTTGGGTAAAGGTGTTATGCTCCCAAAATGACAAGCAGGATGATAACCAAATGATAACTTAGAAATTCACCCAGATTTAACAGAAACCAAGCACCCCATCTGGACACCCTTCCGTTGTCTAAAACTCAAATCCTGAATCTAGGCTACGAAGAGCCACTCTGCTGGCTGGCTGGGCAAAGGGCCACCAGAAAAACACCGAGGAAGCTTTTCCTCGGGCGCCCACCACAGGACCCCGGCTCCCAGCGGAACGGGGGCGCAATGGCCACTCACCGCTTGTCGATGGCGTCGATGTTCGAATGGAGAAGCCACAGCTCCTCCGTGTTGTCCTGGCGGGAGGACAGGATCAGGTGGTGGCCGGTCAGGCACAGGGTCCCCTCGACGGCTGGGTAAAAAGGCCGGTGCAGCACCACATTGTCCACCCGCGGCGTCTTGATCAGCTCCGCAAACTCCATGGTCCCCCAGCGGCCGGAGCCGGGAGAAGACCGGGCAACCGAGGGGCACGGCGGTCACACACCCGCAGGGCTGAGGGTGGCGGGGCACGGCCGGGCCGCGGGGCGGAGTCCAGGGTGGGGAGGCGGCCCCGCCCCAAGCCGGGGTGGGCGCGGCGAGGCCTGCGGGCACTGCACTGGCCGCAGCGGGAGACAAGGGTTGGGCCCGGCCCCGGCGTCTCGCTGGCACTTCCTGTTCAACCAGGCCCTGGGCTCGGCCCCAGAGAACGGCCGCGACTGGCTCTGCAGCAACGGCTCCCACCAGAGCGCCAGGCCTCGGGCGGGCAAGCTGAAAGGAGAAAGGGAAGGCCACTTTACGGCCAGCTGTCCAGCCCAAGTCGCTAGGGACTCCTGGCGGAAGTAGCTGTTCGCAACGAGTCAACTCAGGGCGGAAGCAGCCGCCCTGAAAACTCGGAAGACTGAGAGGTCAGGACCGGAAGTTGGTCCTCGCTGAGGTCCGCTGCAAATGCTCCGGAAATACAACCGGAACGGGAAATTCTGTTCCAACGGGGAAAAAAACTTCTTTGCTTTCACGCCCTCCCGCTGCAGTCCTTATCAGACAACGCCGGGAAGAGGTGAGAAGAGGGCCCTGTTCTGTCTCCCTCACTTGAGTAGCAGGCTCTCAAGGGGCCTCAGAGCGTGGGACTGTTATCAACTGTGGCGATTTTCATCCCTTCGCTGTGAAAAGACATCAAGTGTAGACGGAGGCAGTAACCGTGACCAGGGAGAAGCCTAGGGACACAGAATCGCTGCCCCGGCGCTGTGACCTTGAACAAGGAGGAGGGAAGCATCCAAATACCTGTGAGGGGCAGCTCAATGGGTGCAGATTTGATACACAGAGAGGAAGGGATGAGGCCTCACCCTAGGAGGACTGGCCGGAGGCCTCCAAGATTGCGCAGCCTCCCCGCTGGGTGCAATCCGCTAAGCTACCCACAGGCTCCTCAGTTATGCCAGAGCTCTCCTTGTTGGTTCCTCCTCCAATCCCTCTAAACTGGCATTGTTATTCTAAAATAGGAAATAGAAGGGAAATATGTTTGGGTCCTGGCTAGCTTTTACTTCTTTAGCTTTTGAAACCCGCACGATGTGGTATCTCAGAACTGTGAGTTGACCAAAATTTTAGTGTATTCAAAGACCAAACCTCACCAAATCAACCGTCTTGTCCTTACTTTTGTCTTTGTCCTTCCTAAAATGTTCCCCTCTTAAAACAAAACACTGTACAATGTTGTTATCCCTGAGAGCACAGATTTGCTTATTTGTCTGCAAAAGAAAAAACATCAGTTAAAAGGGATGATGAAGGAAATCATGAGTCTGTTTTTTAAAACTGGAATTTTTCATCTTTCATCTATGTGGTTCATTATCACAGTTACCAATTGTGGAAGGGAAAATTTACTTCCAGAATGAAGCCTCAGGGAGAGGTTTTTGGAGAAAGTATCATTTGAAAGAGGAACTTAAAAGGATAAGTGAGGTTTATACTCTGAATGTAGTATGGTCAAGGTAGATGTCCAGTTTAATATTTACTAGAAAAGGGGAAATCCTTCAATAATTCCATGAACTTTTTTTCTTTTAGTTTTCCTTAAAAGAGCATATACAAAGACTATGATGTCATTAATTTTAACGTGCTTAATATTCTGTAAAGCCATAAGCTTTTTCTCTGCCCACAAGAGAAAATTGTCAGTATCTGCTGGATTGTTATAGTGAAACACTAGAAACTATTAGATAATTACGTCTTCTGTGAGGTGAAGCTCAAAGCATGGAAAACCCTTGAGAGCCAAGGAAAACAAAAATACAATGGGAAAAAATAGAGCGTGGGCAGAGATGGCGAGCACTTCGTGACATAAACAGTAGGTGGCGGTGGAGTTCAACCATAATTGCCAGGGTTCCATTTAATCCAAAGAAACCGGAGTCAAACATGTCCAAATTGTCTGGACACAAAGGTCTCAAGGGTTTGGATGGTGTTTGTGATATAAAGAACTCAGTGCCCTACAGCTGTTACCACTGTTATCACCAATCTGTGAGATAAAATGGTATTAATAGGTAATCAGATGAATAATCAACTAACCTTTGTTAAGTGTCCACTTGGTCACTGTGGAGAATGGAAATGATAGATTTCACACGAAACCTCGCCCTCAAGGAATAACAGCTAGTTTGAGAAGGCTCACACACTCCAAAGAGCTAGTGAACAAAAGAAGAGTAAGTGCTAACTTTCAAAGTACGGATTCACTCTCCGGATTTTGTGTTTCCCTGCTAGGCCTTGAGTGGTTTGTAGCAATGAGGCAGACAGTTTGATGAAGGCAGGTTAATAATTTCCGAAAATAACAGGAGCATCTAAGAGGGAGAAGGCCCTTCCTGGGTGTCCCACTGATGAACAGTTGTCCTCTACATACCTCGTGTTCACTGTGGGCAGCTGATAAACTCATCCCAGGTCTTTCATCTGGTCCCTCTCCCCAACATCTCCCAAGCATATTGATCACCAAGCTGCTGATTCTGTCTTCTAGTATAATCCCTCTCATTCTTTCCATGCAGAAGGCCAAGACTTTAGTTCAGGCCACCACCATTTCTCACCTCCCTAACAAGGAATTTCTTATAATTGGTCAACTTTCTTCCCATGGGGTTTCCCTTCCATCCACCTCTCTCTTCAGGCAGTGATCAGCATCTCAGGACTCATCTATCCTGCTCTCTCTGTCTTCAGCAGTCCCTCGGTCTCACCCCCTGTAATTTTTCATGCCAGACACTGACCGGCACACAACTTGCAATTTCTTCCTGAGATTTTTGCACCAGCTAGAACCTGGCTACTAAGTGAAAGTGTGGAACAAGGACCAGTGTTTTTTGCATCCTCTGGGAAATTGGTTAGAAGTTCCAAAGCTATTGATCAGAATCTGCAATTTAACAAGATTCCTGGATGATCTGTGGGCACAGTGAAGTTTGAGAAAGCAATATTTGAAAGAATCTACATGTTCTTCCTGTATGGCACATGCTCTTCTTGCTTCCAATGATGCTGTCAGAGACCACCATGGGGAGAGAAGACAAACTCCTGAACCCTTATCCTGTTACTTAGTAAAAGCATTTGTGTTTTCTTCTGAGGCAGTCAGGGACTTGGAAGTGGTTGTTGCTAAATAGACAGTAGTGATTCTTTACTTGAGCCTCCAGATACCCAGTAGGTAAGTAAAAGCAGAACAATCTCTCCTTTGTTATCTTAAAACTGAGTCAGACTCATACTTGGCTCTACATAGAGGATGTTAATCATTTAGAGGATGTCTGTCTAAAAGCTGGCAATACAAAGTTAATTAGCCTTAAATTTATATGACCTATTTCATCCACCTTCAAGACTGGGGACACCAGGATAAAAGATTTACAGGTACATTCAGCTACCAATGACCACCCAGAAGTCTCCAGCCATTGCCCTGAACATGCCATCACCTTGAGTTCAGCAGAGCCTCCACAAAGCAGACTTCCCCAAGCAGAAATCACCTCATGGAGAACAAATTGCCCCTTGAAGCTGGAAGAATTTCTCCAAGGGCCATCTTGCAAAACCAGAACTGAGGTAATGGTCAACCAGACGCTGGCCCACCGGAGCTCATCCATAAAGGCTGGTCTCATTCTTTTCCTAATGGGCCAGTCTGATCCTCTCCACCAGAGCTGTGCCCTCTTCAGCTCCCCAAGCTGAAATCCCTTCCTTAGCTTCTCTTACTTTCTAACTGCCTAATAAATCTGTCTATGCCTTACACTATCGTGTCTTGAAATTATTCCACGGGGTGAGCGAGGTCTCCATCTCCTCTTTGGGAGGACCTCATCACATCCCATCCAGTGACAGTACCTTGTCCCTTGACCTGTTGATGCCTGTCAGCCTTCAGCTTTCCTCTTGGAGGTCACTGCTCTGGGAAGCTTTCTGATTCTCCCTATGACTGTGGGTACCACATTATCTCGGCTCCACGGCACCACATAATAGTAGCGCGTAGCATTGAATGTTACCGTGTTCCAGATGTTAGGCTAAGTGTTTGTATGTATTGTCTCCTACAGTCCTCCCCACAGTGCTTGAGGCCGATGCTAAGGGCTGAATTGTGCCCCCCTTCATGAGTTGGAATCCTAACCCTAGGAACTGTATTTGGAGATAGCATCTTTAAAGAGGCCCTAATCCAGGACAACCAGTACCCTAAGAAGAGGAGAGTAGGATGTAGACACGCACAGAGGGAAGACTACATGAAGACACAGAGAGAGCAGCCATCCACAAGCCCAGGAGAGGCCCCATGAGAAACCAATCCATTGACACCTGATCTTGAACTTCTGCTCTCTAAAATTGTGAAGAAGTACTTTTCTGTGTTTAACCTATCCCATCGGTGACATTCTGTTATAACGGCCCTAGAAAACTACAGTAGTACAACTGGCTCTTATTCTCCCTTTCCCAATGTGGAAACTAAGGCATGGAGAGCTTAATAACTTTTCCGAGGTCAGATGGCCAGAAGTGGTCCAGACCCAGACCCAGGCAGCCAAGTGCAGACTCAATGATGTTCACCACTGTGGTCCACTGCCACCCTGTGCAGCCTGAGTCCACTTTGGTTTCTCTCTGATTTTGCCACTTAATAAACAGGGTTGAGAGGGTCCTTCTTGCCTGTAGTGTCCCGCTCATAAGCGCCTCGAGGGCAAGGACCATATCTTGATTGAGGGATGTGCAGCGCCTACCTAAGTGCCTGTTTTATTGACTAGCTGCCTTGTACACATTAACTTTCCATATTGCTCCCTGGCCTTCCCAGCCCCGGTCTGAGTGAATTTAAATAGGGTTGCAGACATGCACGGTGGTGGGTGATGGGAGTAGAGAAGGGTAGTGTGCACATCATCCCCACCTGCGGGAGTCAAGTTCAACCAGGTGAGTAACTTTTCAGTGACAATGATGCCGATAATTTCTTGCATTTGGCCAGTGGGCTGCAGCTTGTAAATGTTTTGAAATCCTCTCTCACATAGGAGCCTCTCTGTAACCTGGGGAAGCAGAGAGCAGAGGCGCTGTGCTAGCTCCAAGAAGCCCAGCAGTGGGGCGACACCCTCAGCAACACGTCTGAGTCCAAAGCCCAGGCCCCTGCTGTCCCACTAATTGAAGTCGGACTTATTTTGCCCACTTTTTGTCTCTTAAGATCCTGAACTGTTGCTGATGAAAAAAGGTAGCCTTTCTTAATAAGCGAAGAAAAAGTAAGGGCTCACTGACTGGACAAAAGGGAAGCTGCGGGCACAATGAGAGGGCGGTCAGGTCTGTGTCCAGATCCTGCATGCTCAGAGCTATGCTCCCAGGCCTCAGCTACTGAGCCTCTTCATTTTTGAGACCAAGCAGAGTGGGATCCTGGCACCTGAGAGGAAAGTGGCAAAGTGGAAAAGAGAATTGTTGGCACTGCTACATAAAAACTCACTCCAAACAATGGCTTAACCCGTGAGCTGGTGAATGGAGATAAAACGGGCTGGGTGAACCGGCTGGTGTTCTCGCTCTCTCTCCTCTCGGTCCTCTCCCTGGTTCCCCAAGAGTTCCTCAGTATCAAGCTGTGTGGCAGCCTCAGGCCAGCAAGGCAGAATTGGTGGCAGATGGAGTTGAAGGTGTTGGGAGCAAGTGCTCCCTAGAGCACAGCGGAAGCTGCATCCCCTTCCCTTGCTGGGCAGGGACGCAGTTGTCCAAGCGGACAGCTCCCCGTATATGCGGGCAGTTGAGGCCTCCGGAGGACGTCAGGAGACTCCGCACACTGTCTTGGCTTTTCTGCTCATGGCCATAATGAAACAATCTAGGAATATGCAATTACAAGTAATTGGACATAATTAAAATAAAGAGACGAATCTAAAATAAAGGCCTAATTGAGGAGTAAGAAAATTAACTAGGTGGGATTGTCAAGGATGCTCATTCGGGGATGACTGCCGGGTTTATGGTGCTGTCACTGAACGTCAGTGGGGGTCAGTGTCCACTGAAGGGGCTCAGGCTGCCCTCGGCCTGTGGCCCCACCTCCCTGGCTCCGCACGTCGGGTTTTCTACAACACTGTCATGAAGCTTGTGTGTAATTCTAAATGTGGCATACAGATTTTGTTTCAGCCCTTTGATTTGTTTAATAGACTGTGACAACCCTGTCACTTGCCCCCTGGCTTTCCTCCACTGTCCTTTCTTCTTTTCCTCCCTCTTTCTTTCTGAGATGACCCGAGAAGAGGACAGATCTATAAGCAACACTCACGGAAAGCTGAGGTATTGTGAAGAGCAGCAGAGCTTCGCAGTGGGGGTCTCTGGTGGTCATCACCATCACCAAGTGACAACACCAGAAGCCCGGACACTCAGAGCTCCTGACCAGCTGTGAGAGGCGCACCTGGGCCTGGGGAACCCTCGTTCCCAGCATGCTGATGGAAACTCTGAGCCTGAAGAAGCCATCAGACACAGCCACGAGGTGGGGACTAAAGGGCGGTTGGCTTGGACTCTCCTAAGAATCCAATCCCATGGAAAACAAAACCAAAAAAAGTGGAAAAGGCAGGAGGAGCCAGGGATGGGGGCATGTGCCTGTAGTCCCAGCATTTGGGAGGCTGAGGCAGGAGGATCACTGGAGCCCAGCTGTTAAAGGTCAGCCTGAGGAAAAGTGAGACACAATCTCAAAAAAATGTTTTTTAAATAAAATCCCCCCCCCGTCAAGTTTATTGGTACATTTTAGGTATCAAATACAGTTACATACATCATTGGGATATTGTACCTTTACATGAGTCTCTTGGTTCTTATTTTTACCCCTTCCCCTGCCCTCCCTTCACCCCCTCCACACTTCCCTATTTGCAAAGATTTTGTTCCCATTTTTCCTTTTCTCATATTTTTTCTTTTCCCTTCTTTCCTTTCCCCTACCCCTCCCACTTCCCCTGCTCTTTTAGACCTTTACATCCTATTACACAATATCAGTTTTACATTTTTAAAATTACAATATCAAGATCTAGGAGATATTACAACAGATTTTACAGAATTTAAAAGTAAATAAAATTTTTAAAAGGTCACAAACCTTGATTAAACTCTTATTAGGGAAAAATGCTACAGAAGATATATGGAGGAAGTATGAATATATGAACATGGATTGTATCCTAGAGGATATTACTGAGTCATTGTTGATTTTCTTAGGTGGGAAATTGATGGGATAATGAAAATGTGGTTATGTATGTAAATGTCCTTTTTCTTTAGAGATGTTCCCCTGAAATATTTAAAGACAAATCATCATGATGTCTATAACCTACTCCCAGTTGTTTCTGAATAATGTGCATGCATATATGTAGCATGTATATGTATAGATGTGTGGCTGTCTTAGTTTTCTGTAGGTATACACAGATGCACATGGTAAAAGACAACAAAAATGACAAAGTTTTGGCAATTGGTTAATCTAGGTAAAAGGTTTAAAAATATTTATTTTACTCTTCTTTATTGTTCTTTTTTATTCAACTTTTAGGTAGTATGAAATTTATTTTAGAATTAAGATTTTTAAAATTAAAATGTGAAAGATGTAATAAATTTTGACTTGCTGTAACGTAACAGTCATTCATGCAAGTTCTGCCATGTGAACTCAACTCCGAGCACAGAGTTGCAGCTGGGCATCGCTTGAGGTCTTGGGAGGCCTGGGTTGGCAATCCCATCTTCATGTCAAAGGGGCTTGGACACAGGGAGGCCTGATTATCCACCCTTCTGAGGATGGCTGCATTCCTAGAAGTCACCAAAAGACATGGCAACAGTAAACCACTGCTATGAAGTTAGTTGTTTTGGAGGTCAGGAGTGATCTGGTAAATAATGCATTCATGATTTAGTCTACGCGATGTCTTCTTGTCATCGAAAAGAGTTTTTCTACACCTGAAATGTTCAAATCCCCGAATTCCACTTTCTGACCATACTTTCCTTTTCTTGACTTTCTTTCTCCATTGCTCCACCCTACTTCCAGCGTTTGCTCTCTTTATCCTAATCTCCCTTCCTGCCCTGCCCAGGGCCTGTGCACTGGACAGCAATTCCCTTGCACTCTCTGAAGGGCTCCTATCTCCTTCATCCGCACGAAGGTGGAGACTGGGCTTCATTTATCTTTGCAGCCCCAGAGTTGAGTCCACTGGTGTGCATAGCTGGCATTTGATAAATATATCTCATTGAAGCCAGGTGTGGCGGTGCACGCCTGTGATCCCAGCAGGAGGCTGAGGCAGGAGGATTGTAAGTTTGAGGTCAGCCTGGGCAACTTAGCAACTTAAAGAGACCTTGTCTCAAAATTTTTAAAAAAAATTAAAAAGGGCTGGACATGTAGCTCAGTATAAACTCCCTGGGTTCAATACCAGTACTGAAAACATATATGTAAATTGAAATTGATTTTTCCAGTCTAATGTTTTCATTTTACACACAAGGAAATCAAATCTCAGAGACAGAAGTGACTTAGCTAAGATTATAGGGCTATTTAGTGGCAGTGGCTGATCGAGCTTTCATATCAGTGCAATTTCTACTGCCAATACTTCCTTCTCCACTACTGATTCAGTCTAGTTTAGTTCTTTTTTTTTTTTTTTTTGACATGCATGAGTAACATTGATCCTTTGCTTGACCAAAGATTAGAGTTTTATTGCTGTTATTGTTTTGTTCTGTTCTGTTTTTGCAGTGCTGGGAATCAGACCCCAGGCCTTGTGAATGCCAAGTGAGTGCTCTACCACAGCCCCAGCTTGGCCAGATCCTAAACCCTCCCAGCCATCTGTGTACTTCCATGTAAAGTCCAGTTTCAG